TTTGGTGAATTGCCGCAAACCAATAACCATAGCTATTTATACTAAGTTCTGGAAAAGATTCAACTCCTGGTTGTCAGATAAGGGTTGGAGCCCTCCGGATATCCCCGGTGGTCTTAGATTTCTTCCAGGATGGGGCAGATCAGGGCCTTTCAGTTAGCACTTTAAAAATGCAAGCCTCGGCCCTTAGTGTTTTCTTTCAGGTCCCCCTCCAGCAGGATCCCTTTATAGAGGAGTGAATTGCAAGCGCTTTCCATTAAGGAACCCTTTTTGTTAGTTTTCGAGGATAGAATTGTGCTCAAAATGGATCCTGCCTTTCTTCCCAAAGCTTCCTCCTCCTTTCATAGGTCTCAAGATATAATTTTGCCGACCTTCTGCTCTGCTCCCACTAGCAAGGAGGAGGAAAGATTAAGTTTATTAGATGTTAGAAGGAGCCTTTTGGCCTATCTTAGTAGGTCCAGAGAGTTCAGAAAATCAGATTCTCTTTTTTTGTTCTTTTCACGGAAGCGCGGACGGGTTTCACTGCTTCCAAATCCACCATAGCTAGATGGATTAGGATGGCTATCGTGGAATTGTATAATTTACTAGAGATTCTGCCCCCCTTTGTTAATGCACACTCAACCAGATCTTTGTTAGCATCCTGGGCAGAGAGAGCTGGTGCCTCACTAGAACAAATCTGTAAGGCGGCCACTTGATCCAGCTTTTCTACCTTCATGAGACATTATCACATGGATCTGCTTTCTAGTGAGGATCAGGCGTTTGGGAACATATTCCTCCAAGCAGTAGCCCTGCCCTAGTGGGTAAGTTCTTGATTATTGTCTCAAGGGGCTGTCCTGGAAGATTGTTTTTGAGAAAACTAGAGTTTGACTTACCAGTAACTCCTTTTCTATAATTATTCCAGGACAGCCTGGATTTCCTACCATAAGTATTGTTCGGTAATGTATGTTTATGCATAAATGGTTGTCTTTTAGTGCCTTCCTATTGATCTTGAGGAGGCCTTGAGGTCTGGATTTTAAGATTCTGGGTTGACATGTTTTTCTGTCCCAGAGGGAGGAGCTCTACATCTCAAGGGGCTGTCCTGGAAGACTTGTAGAAAAGGATATCAGTAAGTCTAACTCTGATTTTTTTTTTCCCTGCAAATATAGTATATGTGTATTATTTATTTTTTGCATAAGGTGGAATAAGCCTTTTAGTTGTGAAAGCAAATGGCCAATCCATTGTCTTTCAGACTGTCAGTGAAATAGAGCGTAAGCTCTAATATGGCTTTGCAGAATTTGATGCTGCATACACAGAGGCAAGAAATTGCCAGAATGTCTGTCTTATACATAGCTTGTGCACAGTTGTGAACTGCCCCCCCCTTTTATATATGAAAGTTGCCCTGTTTTAAATGTGGAAGTTTCCCTGTTTTGTATATGATTGGCAAACGGATACTTTCACTGGCATCTGCCCTACACCTGTGACTGCAGACTTCGAGAAGCCCTGGCCTATAGCACACATCACATCTGCGTGACTTGCGCAATCCATTGGACTTCTGCCATGGACAGACACTGAATGAGTAGCTGAAACCGCAGCCTGCTCCTGCATTTGTACCAGTCCAAGGTTAAATAAATGAGTTGCAGAACAGCTCCAGTAACAGTAAGCTTTACTGTCACTGCTGCTGTCTCGCTATTCAATCATATAGCCAGGTGCAAGAAAAACAAGATGAACTTGCTGTGGGCTAGAGATGAGCTTTTCTGATTCAGATGCTGTCTCCATGGAACTTGGGCTAAATATTTTAAGGAATTTTATAAATCTTCCTACCTGCACATTGTGTTTTTCATCTGCATAAGATGTGTGTTTATCATGTAGTTTTGTGGTGTCACTTGTCTTGTATGCAGAGCCTATAGTAGAGTAAATGTTCACATTCCGGCTTCTCTGTGAGAGGCTTCTCTTCTAAGAACTGACACTCCCTGTGAAGAAACTATATTTCCCACAATCCCTGGGTCTCTCAGTCTAGCACTGGTGCAATGTATTTATATCTGAGACAGCCACAAGCAGGCAGAGCATTCACAAAGAGATCGCCTTGCTGGAAGAGATGTTTTGATCACTTTAGCACTCCCGCACTTGTAATGCAACACAGAGAAAATGATGAGGCATGGATTGAACTATGTGTGACCCGGAACAAGTAGTTGCTTGTACCTTTAGCAAATCGAGGCAAACTAGGTGAATTAATACATGGACAGCCATGGCACTACAAACTGCAGCTACAACATGAATGCATCTCATGAATGACTTGTAGGTCGTAACTAGAGCTGCACAGATTATGGTTGAGGATATGGTTTCACACGTTTTGAAAAAGACAAAGCGACTAACTCAAATCTTACCTATTGCTCCCCTTTATGAAATTTTTTAAATTGATTAGAATATGGAACTAGATTAGAGCCTTAACTATTGATAACCTTTCCTTACAGTCTTAAAATAGAAGTATGCCTAAAGTTTTTTTTTTTTTTTCTTGTGAGTCACAGGAGTCCACTTACTTTTGCTTTCCTGTGAGCTGACGGGGCAGAGCCACTACAAGCTCTGGAAGGATCCTTACAATATTGTCGGGATCCATCCAGCTGCCTGATTGAAAGCTGGCTCCACCGATGCAGCATAAAGGTGAATATGAACGTTTGTTTTTTGCAAACCCCAAACTTCTCCTTTAAATTGGTTGTAAGTGCAAATATAAAAAAAAATATTTTTGCCATAAATTAATACATTTTAATGTAAACATACAGATGTGAGTGTACCTCAGAAAAATGCTCCCTTAGCTGGTCTCAGCCCTCAAAAAAAACGCTGGTCTGTGGGTGTGGCTTAGGACCAGAGAATAGTAGGCAGAGATGTGATGTCACACAATCCCTCAGTTATACACATCCTCCATCGTCGGCTCAAGAATGTGCACAGCTATCTGACATCTCTATGTCTCTGAGTGCATTCAAGGGAATACACAGGTGCCAGTGACTGTCAGCTCTGCTCACAGCACAGGATCTGTGCTAATCAGGAGAAAGCTGGTAGGACGGGGTTAATGTTAAAAAATTCTCGGAATCCTGCAGCCTAAAGTGGCAATGTGGACCAGGAAACATTCTCATGTAAAACTCTATAAACGGCAATTCACAAGCTAGGCGCTGTGAATAGAGCAGGACAATAATCAGCTGTCAGCAGTCTTACCTAGATAACTAAAGCATTACTGAAGTGATGCCGATCTATGTCATAAATCAATGGTGCTGAGTTCTTGATCTTGTGAAGGTAGAGACCAGCAGGGAGAGGAAACCCGCTCCTCCAACCCTTTGCAGTGTATTACATGGAGACTCATGCTTATCTCATCTTCAGCACAGCCTGTCACTCACTGGAGAAAGGGAGTGGTGACACCATTTTTCTGCGTGTCGGATTTATTCTGTTCAGAAGAGCGGAGGTGATTTCTGGAGAAAGGAATTTGCTTCAAGATGCCAAACTAAGCTGAAATGCTTAGTACATGTAGAATCTATTCAACTGTAGGATTAGATTGATTTGTGTTTTTTAGGTTTACAACCACTTTAAACTCATTATGGTTGTTTGCACTGCAAAGTATAGATCTATACACAACAACAAAGTACAGATAGAGCATAAGGAAAATATGCTACAGTTGTAGTAGGTCTAATTTGATTTCAATTTTCAATCCCTATAGTAAGTCATCACTCTTGATGTTGGGGTTGGTGTGATGAAAGGTGGGAGGGTATGTACAGCATCAGGATCATCAGGTGTTTCTTTGATGTTTCATTGATGGGCCCGCTTAGGTCTCCAGAGGGTTCAACAGTGATTCATATGATCCAAAAATATTTAGACAGAATAAAGGTGAATAAAGCACCTGGACTGGATGGCATACACCCACAGGTCCTTAAAGAATTGAGCTCTGTCATTTCAAAGTCATTGTTTCTAATCTTTAACCCCTTCCCGCCGAGCTTAATAAAAGGCCACATAGATGAGTTCTTGCTGGAAAAAAATATTTTAAGCAACAGACAGCATGGATTCATGAAAGACAGAAGTCAAACAAATCTGATTTTTCTTTTTATGAGGTGAGCAAAACCTTGGACAGAGGGGTGGCAGTGGACGTGGTATACTTGAATTTTGCAAAAGCGTTTGACACAGTTCCCCACACATGGCTAATGTGTAAGGTAAAGTCTACAGGCTTGGAAAAATCTGTATGTAAATGGATAGAAAACTGGCTAAAAGATCGTATTCAGAGTAGTGGTTATTGATTCATACTCTGAATGGTCTGGGGTCATCTGTGGTGTACCCCAAGGTTCAGTGTTGGGACCCTTACTTTTTAATATATTTATAAACAATATAGGGTCTGGGATTAAAAATCCCATTTCAGCCTTTCAGATGACACCAAGCTGTGCAGTGGAATAACGTCCTTACAGGATGTCTCCAATTTACAAGCTGACCTCATGCACTGTTTAACCTCCCTAGCGGTCTGATTATGTCAGTATTTCTGTGCTCAAAGTGGTAAATTTTTTTGCATGGAAATATGTTGTTTTTTAATTGTAGGCCTGTAATTTTTAGGAAATAACTCACTGAAATCTGTCCGAACAAGAGTCTAGTAAACATTCCGGGTATGCTAAAATTTGAAACCCGAAATCATAAATTATAATTTATGATTTATATCATAAATTATAATTTAATAAATAATCATAAAAGATAATATAATAAATTTAATTCAATAATATAATCAAACCAAAAACACTGAAATTTGAAATATAGCGCCAAATTCGCATATCACTGAGCAATGTTGCAAAATCGTTTTCAGTGTCTGATGATGAATTTCCCCACGAATCATCACTCAATTCTGCAAGTGGTTCTAATTTACTATCGCTGTTTTCTAGCTGGTCTAAAACCGCCTTTGACCTAAAGGGACGCTTTTTGGAGGCCATGTACGTTTCTCAGTTTCCAGGCAGAAAGAACAGTCAAAATGCAGGCAGGGCACAGGACAAAGCACTAGGGACAAAATGTATGTGAAATGCTTTGATACAGTAATGTTTTACTATGTGATTTTAGTGTATTTGGTAAATGTCACTTTTTCACATTTTTAAATTTCCCGCCGTTCCATTCCCATACGTCCTGACGTCGCAGGGAACAGAACCCAGAAGACGGATGCCGGCATTGGCCGGAGGACATTTCCGGGGACACTGCAGGAGGGACATCGCGGGAGCGAAGGACAAGGTAAATGAAGAAGAGATCCCGGAGCAACGCTGCAGGGTATTCCCGAGTGTAGCTTGGGGTTACCGCTTGTGGTGCTGAAACTTTACCCCGAGCTACACTCGGGAATACATCCAGGGAGGTTAATTGGGCAACTATGTGGCAAATGAGGTTTAATGTTGATAAATGTAAGGTTATGCATTTGGGGGCTAAGGTTATGCATGCATCATACATACTAGGGGGAGTACAACTGGGGGAATCAATGGTGGAGAAGGATCTGGGAGTTCTGGTAGACCACAAGCTTAATAATGGCATGCAATGCCAAGCTGCGGTTTCTAAAGCGAGCAAAATCCTCTCTTGTATTACAAGAGTTACAGACTCCAGAGAGAGAGATATCATTTTACCTCTGTACAAATCATTAGTAAGACCTCATCTGGAATTCAGCTTTGGGCATCAATTAACAAAAAGAACATTGGGGAACTGGAGAAAGTACAGAGAAGGGCAACCAAAGTGATACGAGGCATGGAGGAGCTCAGCTATTGAGGAAAAATTAGAGGAACTGAATTTATTCTCTTGAGAAGAGGAGATTAAGGGGGGATATGGTCAACATGTATAAATACATCAGTGGTTCATATAGTGAACTCGGTGTAGAGTTATTCACCCTGAGGTCATCACAGTGGACAAGGGGGCACTCTTTACGTCTGGAGGAAAAGAAATGTAATCTTCAAACACGGAAAGCTTTCTTCACAGTAAGACCTTGAAAATGTGGAATAGACTCCCTCAAGAGTTGGTTCTGGCCAGCTCAATGGATTGCTTTAAAAAAGGCCAGGATTCTTTCTTGGATACACAGAATATAACTGGATACTAACATTTATACGTAAAGTTGATCCAGGGAATATCCGATTGTCTCTTGGGATATGGAAGGAATTTTTTCCCCTGCAGGAGCAAATTGGATCATGCGTTGCTGGTTTTTTTTGCCTTCCTCTGGATCAACTGTGGGTGTAGGATCATAACTTTTTTTTTTTAAATGGTTGAACTGGATGGACTTTTGTCTTTTTTTCAGCCAGACTAGCTACAGTTGTGACCAAAATTATTCAACCCCCAATGCTGTAAAGGGTTTAGGGACTATAGTGTACATTTGGAATTGTATTCAGAATCAAATCCTACAAGGACGTTGTAACTACCCAAATGCAACTAAAATGACATCAATTGTTTATGTAATACAGTAGTAAATGGTTCTTATGTGGTTTCTTCATTGCCACAATTATTCAACCCCTTAAAGACTACCACTCTGAAGAACAGAGGTTCATACAGGTGCTTTCCATCAGGTATTGAAAACACCTGTGGATGTCACCGAGCAGCAATCAAGCATAATAAGCACAATTAGGCAGCTTTAAAATGACTGTGATACTCAGCTCCTTCTAGACATTTACTGGTGTGGTTACAAAACATGGTGAAGGCAAGAGAATGGTCCAGGAAGACAAGAGAAGAGGTGATTTCTCTTCACAGGAAGGGCAATGGCTATAAGAAGATTGCAAAGATGTTAAAACATACCAAGAGACACCTTAGGAAGCATCATTCGCAAATTCAAGGCAAAGGGCACTGTTGAAACGCTACCTGGTCGTGGCAGAAAGAAGATGCTGACTTCGACTGCTGTGCGCTACCTGAAGCGTAGAGTGGAGAGAGAAGTCCCCGTGTGACTGCTGAGGGAAACTGAGAAAAGATTTGTCAGATGTGGGTACAGAAGTTTCAGCCCAGACAATAAGACGCACACTGCGTAATGAAGGCCTCCGTGCAGTAGAACTCCAGGCGTACCCCCTTGCTGTCTCCAAAGAATAAGAAGAGTCGACTGCAGTTGCCAAAAGCCATGTGGACAAACCACAAAAGTTGTGGGATAGTGTTCTGTGGACTGATGAAACAAAATTAGAACTGTTTGGGCCCATGGATCAACGCTATGTTTGGAGGAGGAAGAACAAGGCCTATGATGAAAAGAACACCTTGCCTACTGTGAAGCATGGTGGAGGGTCAATCATGCTTTGGGGCTGTTTTGCTTCTGCAGGTACAGGGAAGCTTCAGCGTGTGCAAGGTACCATGAATTCTCTTCAGTACCAGGAGATATTGGATGGAAACGTGATGCAGTCCGTCACACACCTGAGGCTTGGGAGACGTTGGACCTTTCAACAGGACAATGATCCCAAGCATACCTCCAAGTCCACTAGAGCATGGTTGCAGAGGAAAGGCTGGAACATTTTGGAGTGGCCATCGCAGTCACCAGACTTAAATCCGATTGAGAACCTCTGGTGGGACTTAAAGAAAGCAGTTGCAGTGCGCAAGCCTAAGAATGTGACTGAACTGGAGGCCTTTGCCCATGAAGAATGGGCGAAGATACCCGTAGATCGCTGCAAGACACTTGTGTCAAGCTATGCTTCACGTTTAAAAGCTGTTATAACTGTAAAAGGATGCTGTACTAAGTACTAAGATTGAATGTCACTTGGGGGTTGAATAAAACTGATAATGCTGTGAGCACAGAAAAGACATTTGTGGTTATTTCATTTAACTGTTATGTTATATTTGTCTGACCTACAAGTGCCTCTTTAATGTAAATGTAAGCAAGATGACTGAATGATCAAAAGCAATGTCAAACTGGCCAAAACACTCAATTTCAGTGGGGGTTGAATAATTTTGGTCACAACTGTATGTAACAGTGATACCTCCCTTATAGGTGTGTAGCAACTATTGTTTCTGTTGCTACACCTTATAGGTGTAGCAACAGAAACAATTGAGTACTGTCCGTGATACTTTTTTTTATTTTCACTAACATACAATTTTGAGGACAAGTTTCGGGGTATGTCCCCTTCTTCAAAGTCCAAGCAGTACTATACAAATCACAAAGTTTCAGCAGAACGTGAACATTAACGTTCTGCTGAAACTTTGTGATTTGTATAGTACTGCTTGGACTTTGAAGAAGGGGACATACCCCGAAAGCTTGTCCTCAAAATTGTATGTTAGTGTAAATAAAAAAAGTATCACGGACAGTACTCAATTGTTTCTGTCGCAAATGCACTAATACGGCTACAATCACCTCAAGCTAGATGTAGCAACAAAATCCATGCATCCCACTTCTACAGGTCATTCTTGATTTTCCAGTAATTCTGGACAGCTTCAGTTACTTGGTCTTTTTTTTCTCTTGTAATCTTCTTCAACAAAACCTTCCAATGGTACTATCAATTTCAAGACTATTTCAGCTTGGTTGTTGTGGCCCACAGGACCATGTCTGGCCTAATGTTGTAGCCACAATGAATGGGGGAGCTCAAGTTTTTGTTTTTTTTCCAAGCCCACATCTATTTTCCGATCCCATGCAATTCACTGGATACTTGTATCGTTTGATCTAAGAGGTTTATTTGTCATTTCCCATTGCATAGTTAAACAATCACTTTTCTTTTGCCCCAGTTTTCATAAATCAGCCCACAGTGCATTGCAGCTGTCTTTGTGTATTCACCGTTTTACATGTACCTGAAGTTTATTTATTATTTATTTCCCATATTTATATTGCATGACATATTACGCAGCCCTTTGCAGAGTACATAAACCATTCACATCTGTTCATGTCCCTAAATAGCACCAAATTAATATAATGTCCATACCACAGGCAGAAAACCACACACATCTGTTTTTAGACCCAATTAAACAACTATAGAAATGCTGTAAAAATGCCCAAATTCTCTGTCGACAGTGTTCCTGGATAACCCACAAGTTCAGCACAAGACTGAAAAACCACTTTCACTTCATCCAGATTCTAGACATAAAAAAAATTGAGAGACATTCTTGGGTATGTCAATCCCCAATTAGAAGGATCATTCTAAGGGGCAAAGCTGTGAATCAGACATGCACCAAACATTCACTTCAGGTGACTCTACCAAATGCATGTTTTGAATGACAGTGATTGATTCACCACTAGGAAATGTTTGGTGAAAGTCCCATTTAAAAAGACCCCTAAGGGCTGTGACAGTCTCTGCAAAGTGATCTGTGGTGGATGGCACAGGTGCGGCTGACAGGCATTCTGGAAGTGATACTGTTGCCTCCAGACTGCATGTGTTTTTTTTTTTGGGAGAGGGAGGGGTTTTGACAGCTAAATGGGAATTTTGAATGGGAATACCTTGCCGCTACCTCAAGCCTAGCACTTGGATCACAGTTGCAATTTGGCCTGATTCACTTGGGTTGTATTCGCCATGCATTAAATCCTGGCATTTTTGTACATCCGGAAGGCACAGGTGCAGAGTTATGTCCTGCTGCCTGCAGCCTGTCAAAAACTAGTACAGGCTAAGTTCTGCTGTTGTTGCACACTGTACCAGGTGGTAATCGTGCTTGGTGTCCTATGCATTCCTGGACATATGTCTGGAATATTCTGGAAGAGTGATTGGTATTGGAGGTGTTTTCAACATGAAAGCAAATTTATCCTTGAGGTAGAGAGACATGTGCATCAGAGGAAGCTGAATATTTCCTAAGACATTAATCTCCCAAACTTGTTGAATCCTCACTGGCAGAAAAGTAGTTTCATTGGTCATAGTCTAAAGGTCCATGACAAATGTAGTTAGGAGGATCAGCTGTTGTTTTTGCTGTATTCCCCATGAAATAACTTACATCTTACATCATAGGTATGTGTAAATTCTCAGGTTGCCAGAGGAGGTGTTTATGTGATGGGTCATTGTGTGAGCTAATGACAAAGTAGAGTCAACTATGTAACCCAAGCTATAAATACCAAGGTGGTATTGGAAGATACTCACTTGTATTCACTACTTGTTTTTAGTCTTCAGCTTCTTGAGCTAAAAATGCTTCTGCCATCTTTCTGATGGGTTTTGGCTAAGCCAGATACATTTGAAATATATGAAAAACAATTTGTATAATTTTCTAAAGAATATCTTAAGCTTGGTACAGATGCACTCTATTTCAGGTGTATAGGCTGGGAAAGTACACATCCCAGGCTCCCTGTTCACTCTCTTTATGTTCTGATTGTACAATTTACAGCGATTGTAAAGTTTTTTTTTTTTTTGTTTTTTTTTAACAAACATGATATACTTACCTGGTCTGTGCAATGGTTTTGCACAGAGCAGCCCCAATTCTCCTCTTCTGGGGTACGTTGCCAA